AATCATCATGAAGAAAAAGTTCAATTCGATTTCTTTTTTTACCTCGACTCCATTTCTTCTTGTTTATCTTTACTCTTTTCTCTCGGCTCACTCTCATCATTTCCTATCATTGTCTTCAGCATCTTCTCCTCCATTGAATAGATCATCATCACCATGTTGATGTTCATTCCTAAACAGAATTTTCGATAACAAAGAATGAAGAGAAATCCCTTTGAGCGAAAGAGAAGAAAAAACTTTTCTTCTCTTACCTTATCATCTATTAAGGCAATTCTCAATTCCTTCTTATATCATATTCTGTTTTTTTTTTCGTCATCACAGAATCATCATTATCTTCATCTTTCTCTTTTTCCATCATTATCTTCATTTTCGAGTATAAAAAAAGTACATTACCTCAAAAAAGAACAGTTAGTTTTTTCTTTCTCCTTCTATGCTTTTTCCTCTGCCTAGTTATCATTTTATCACTGAATAAATTTCAACAGAATCGACTGATGATACCAACATGTCTCTTATCGCCCTCATGGTGAAGATTCTGGTTCTTGAATGATGAACATGAGATCATGGTGACGATAAGATAATGATGACAGTGAATCGAAGCCAAAACAAGATACTCACTTGGGATGAACTTTTTCACTCTCTCATCATCCCCCAGCATTATTATGATAAAACTAATGAAATAATGATGATAGATAAAAATATCTTTACTTGATAATCATCATTATTATCATAATAATCATCAGTTGCCTCCTGGTGAATTGTATCAGTTATTATCTAAAGGCAGGATGCATTTGAGAATTGATATTAATTTTTGAAAAGAAATATTATCTCCAACATGATCATGTTGGTAAATATAACAACTGATTTTGAACAGAATTCAAATAATGACAAGATATCATTTCAATGGATTTCCATCAAAAATGTATGAACATAAATCCAATTGTATTGAAATATTTTGCCTGATTTATTATTATCATGACTGTTCATGGTGAATATCAGTTCATGAGTGAATTTCATATGAAAACTATCAAATTTTGCAGAAACTAAAAGGTGAAAATTGTAATTTAAATACTGAATAATCAATAATGAAATCAACCTATTATCATGAGAGTATTTCAAATATTACAATGAAAGCCTCATGAACAAACAAAGAGACTTTGAAACTTTTTCTTTCTCAGGTAATATTAGAACTTTTCTCCCTCTCGAATTAACATCAAATTGTCACAATTTAAATAAACTCTCAAACTGTTACATGCTACTCATGAGAATAGAGCTTAAAACTCATGTTACAAAATCTAAACTATTTGTTTTTCTGTATTTCATTCACTTATAATATTAATAGAACTCGATGAAAAGCCAATTACTCGCAACTAAAGAAAACAAGTTCGAGATCAAGATTAACTACGATTAGATTCAATTGTTGATTCAACTTAAAATCGATATTAACAATTCAAAGGTCTCTCTTTCTCTCTGTGAACATTTAAAATTGATTCAATTCGATCAAGTTAAACAATTTAATTTGATCGAAATTTAAACCGATAATTAGATTAAGATTTATAAATCGAATTTTTTTTTCATTATATTAGTAGTTAAAAGTTAATTGTGTTAGTTGATTTAGTTTTATTTTTACCTTTCTCTTGGGAACATCATAAAGTAATATTATTAGTAGCAATTATATTACGATGAGGATGGTTTTTTTGTTATCGAACTTGACAAAGTCAGAACAAAAAGAATATGAAAAAAGTTCTAAGTGTGAGCCAAAGATTCATTTTTCGAGACAAGAGTTTATTGAAATTTTCCATCAGTGACACTCAATGAATCTCAATTTGATTTGCTAATTAACAATTCAAGTTGATTGTTTTTATAAGTTTTTCGCCAGTTGAAAGTTCTGAATCTGAATTTCAAGTATCATCATGAATAAACTTTTCTGTTGTCAATTAGTTACATGGGAACACTTGCCAGGTGATGTTATGAATGAACTGTTATTACAAAAAATTCTCATCACCCTGAAGCAAAAAAGAAAAGAATATCGCTGGAAAATTCTGAATGTTCATATTCGAAAACCTGACTGGCTTTTCTCATCTATCATGAATTTTGATTATTTTTCTGTCTACCCTGTTGTTCATTTACCAATTTTCTCATGGTGAAAGGGAAAATAATGATCGGAATAAAAGAAGGAATTAATTTCCAACTTATCATTATTGTGATGATTACCTTGCGATTATTTGTTATCATGTTGAGGGGAGTTGAAAATGATCATGATAATCATTCAGATGAATATGAATATTAACAGCTTACCAATTGAGTAACTTATGTTATTATCATGATGAAAAAGGCTTTCAACTGAATCCACTGAGTCCCATTTGAAATAATTGATTATCATGGCAAATGATTGAATCCCTTTAATATTAGAAACATTTTCTTAATCATATCTTTCATGATAATTGTATTGATTATCCTTTTCAAATGATTGAGATGATTTATAATAATATGATAATTGTTTCTTTCTTTCACTAAACATGATGAAAGATTTGGTTGGTCACTTTGAGATTAGTCTGATAAGTTGGTTAATCTTTTTCTGAGTTTCCAAACTCAAATGTAAGATGAGAGAAATTTTTTTGTCTCTCTCATCCTAAGATTAATATCTTATCCTTAGTCCCTGCAACTCCCCCAACCTCTTAAAACGAAAGTGAGAGAGACAACATGATGGACATGAGTGATAATCATTGTCCTAGAGATTTAATAAGTTTCCCTACTTCCGATTTCCTGCTTTTAATTCAACCTCAGAATCTCAAATCGTTTCTGTTTCCTGTTTCATTTTTTTTTTCTTTGCTTTTTATCAATGGATAGTTTTTAATTCTGAACGAGTCGAATTCATAAAATGGATTAGAACTTTTTTGTTTGTTCAGAAGAAACTCTCTCTCTCTCTTTTTCTTTCTCTCGTCACCATTTTAGTGACCGTTTGAAAGCATGATGAACTTTTCTTTAAGAACTTTTTTACCAGTTCTCAGCATTTTTTCATCTCTTCATCCATCAGAACATTTTTTCTATCTTCATGTATTAATTCATGATCATCAAGATGTTCATCATAATGAAATATTAAATCTTTTCGTTTTCTTTTTCGAGCAAAATTCTTATCAATAATGATTATTTAATCAGTTCTCACCATTTGGAATAATATTCTCGAATTTTTCTAAAAAGTTCTTGAAAATCAACAAGAATTTTCTTTTATCTTGACTCTATCTATAAATCAGATTTCATGGAGAACTTTGATTTTCATTCTCTCCTTTTAATTGTTTACCTGATGTCTATCCTTAGGCCTTCAGAATTTTCCTGATCTCATGAGATCGATTGATAATGTTAATCGCCATGTAATATTATCTACTCGTAGGAACCACTAAATTCTGGTTTCAATATTGTCCTTTTATCATCTTATTCATGAGAGTTAATATAAGAATGGAGCCTGAATTATTCTGGACATAAGAATCAATCAATTCTGTTCAGAATATATTTTCTGAGCTGATCATGATTACTATTTACTTTGAGACAACAACAGATTGATGAACATGATGAGACAAATTCAATAAGAGTTCATGTTTAATCATATCCATGATTGATTAGTTTCCATGACATTCCAAGAGATCCAGAGTCTTCATGATAACAAAACTAATGGACAAATGAAAATATCGATCTTGATGAAAGTTTGTTTGTTTTGTTTTTCCAATTTAAAAAGTTTTTTCAACTTAATTGTTTATGATTAAAACTTTTTTGCTTCGCTACTTAAGTTATTAAACCAGAAAAATATTGTATCATTATCATTGTGATTAAATTTAATGAATCTTCATTAACCACTATGATCATCATGCTATTTCAATTTTCATCCTGAGAAAAAAAAACTAATTTTGATTAAAAAATTTCAATTCTTTATCATTAATCTTTATTAGATTTGAAATGTTATTATTATTTTGTATCATTATTATCAATGAAAACAAATTTCCATGATGATTATATTCACACCTTGAGATGTAATCATGAACATGAGGATAATATAGATAATATTAAATTCAGTGAAAATTTTCATCATTATCATGAGAATGATGATTTTTGTAGAAAGTTGATCATTTGTCTTCATTTAAACAATAACAATCTCTGAAAGTGTAACAAAATGTTACCATCTCAAGTTAGATGAAAGTGAAAAACATCAGCATTAAGATGAGGTGGGATGATAATGGTGATGATGATGATGATGTTGATGTTGGAGGAGGTGGGGTGATGGTGATGGTGGGTTAAGTGAATGAAAAATATTGTTACAAGAAAGTTTAATATCGGTTAACCTTTAAAATGATAATAATAATAACATCAAGTTCTTGGAGGGTGAGAATTCAGATGAAAACAACAATCATATAAGAATCTTCCTCTCTCCCCCTTCTCACTCTTTCTCTCTTCGTCTTCATCAGCAACAAATGCTGGGGCTGAGAATTTCTATCTAATAGGAAAATGTTATAATGGTGAAAACATGAGCGAGACTGAATTATGATGGAAAAAATGAAAACTAGGAGGTGGAAGTTTTTCAAGGTGGGATTACTGGGAAGATAATGATGATGATGAAAATCTTTTCTATTTTTTTATGTTTTGTTTTCGAAAGAAATAAAAACTGTTTCAATAGGAGAAGAACTTTTTTATACTCTCGTTTCATCTTTTTTCATTCCTATAAAAAATGATACATGGTATAAGTTGCGAGAGAAATAATTCTCTTTCTTGAAAAAGAATTGAAAGTTTTGAAATCACGTTTTTCTCTTTTCGAAATGTTTCATTTATACAAAACAATTGTAATTCTTCTCATTGACCAAATTCACAATCACACTATTATTACGATTAACTTTTTTTGATGCAAACATTGAAGAGGCTGAAGCACTACAAAGATATCAAAACCACCATTCGATAGCTTTTTGAATTCTGTATCGACTTGCAGAACAATATTATAGGGGTTAAGGGTCAAAAGTTACATATTTTCGAATTTCGAGGGGAAACGTTTCTTAATGAAATCCCTTTTCTCTTGTGTTCCAACCGTAGTGAATACTTGACAACCTCTTGATAGACAGATCGAAATAGCTGCTTGACCAACTCCTCCTGAACCTGCATGAATTAAAACACTTTCACCAGATTGTAAATTTCCTCGAGAAATCAAACCATAATAAGCTGTTAAATAGACAACAGGAACTGTTGCAGCTTCGGCTAATGTCCAATTTTCAGGAACAAAGATGCGAGATGAATTTGATTGGATTATTGATGAAGTTGCTAATCCACTAGAACTACAAATACCCATAACTCGTTCACCAGACGAATTGATACCCGAAAACTCAATACCAATTGACGGGTTGACTTTATGACGATTTTATTTGTACAGTTTAATAACAAAGAGAATTTACTTTGTAATTGAGCTTTTAAAAATGTCAAATGTTTTGATTGCTTACAATTAAAGATAAATGACAACTTTTTTGCTCTGAAAATAGCTTATTCTTACTTGATTACATTTTTTCTCGAGCTGTTGCTACTCATCAATCTTTCTCATAGTAACATTGCTAGCGAGATTTTGAAGCCAATAATGGAACCTGCAAACAAGCATCAACAAAGCTAATTCAATGTCCAGTGTCTTTGACCATCCCCAACTTCCGCAGAAGAAACTTCTTCTACACCTTGGAATGATCCTGAATAATCATAACCACGAGTTCTAAGTTCCGTGTAAATGTCCTAAATACCATTTTCTCTTTCCAAAACCATCATTTTCGAGTACAGTTACTAATCGTTCAGATGGAGGAGTATTGGGTGTAATTCTGGGTATAATTGGTCCACTTCAATCACTGGTAGTGATTAAGATAATCACTGATCTTGGAACATCTTAAGCTGGTGAAATGCTTCTTTATGATGAATTAACTGAGTCAATGAGAAATGTTAAATTGCAAGAAAAATGTTCCAATTGTCATGTTTTTGGTGATTCTCCAATAATTGATGGATAATTAATTGATTATGAACAATTCTGTGATACACCAATGTGCGATGATTCTAAAATTTAAAAAATTTACACTTCAGAGGAAAGGATTACCTGTCAAGAATATAAGGAGACAATTGTTGCCACCAATACGCCTCTTTTAATTGGTGTACGATCATCATTACAATAATCAATTGTTAAATTAACCAATGCAATCAATTTACCGTTAGATGTTATCGATAAGTCAAATGGATTGAATAATCTTAAGGATTTAATTGATTCAAAGAAAGTGGATAAAGTATTATTCATGTGTCGCCGTGGAAATGGCTCACAAACGCATGTCATTTCGTCAAAGATAATTTAGTTAATTGTTATCTAATTCAGTTTAAATATAATCGGTGGTATTGCCGCTTGGGCCAAAGAGATTGACCGACTAATACCAATCTATTAAAATCTTTCATTCCAAACTCATTGGTAATATTTACCTTTGGAAATTTATCTATTTTTATATTCAGATTATTAATTGTTTCGCTGGAAATTAAGATAACAATAAACTAATTGTTTCATTTTTCCAAGCAACAATTAAACAAATGTCTGTGGAAATAGTCTATTCCCACAGCAGAAAATCAAAATTTCTGTTTACATTTGTTGTTGTTTTCCTTGGATTTGTCATTTCCTATTCTTAATTGTTTTCCTTAATTTTTACAACCTTTTTCTATTTCTCTCTGTTTAATTTTAGCCCACAATCAATTCTGTTTCTCTTTCCAGATATCTTCAGGTAATTATCGATTTAATTTCTTCAATATTCTCGAAATTATCAAGTATCTTTTTCTTACTATTTTAATTTTCACTTTTTCCATTTTTTGTCAACTCTATACTTCCTCATAGATTTAAAAACCTAAAACTTGAATGACATTTACGATTGAATTTATTGATCAGAAATCTCTAATTGAGACCTTTTTTAATTCATTCAAATACACTGTTGAAAATTTGAAACAAATTCCTAAACAGAATTGATTTGTAAATGATTAACCTGCAAACGGTTAATCCACAAGACACTTTGTTGTAATCAGAATTTTTAATGATTTCTAATCATTAACTTTCTGTTACTAATTTTCACTCAATCTATTCAACTGCCATTCCATTTGTCACCTTGTTAGTTTACCAACGCCTCTGATTAAGCCTCGAAAATCTCAATTTGTATAATTATTTTCTCTAATCAACTAATTAATATTTCATTTGGTTTTCTTTTACAGTAAAGATAAATTCGTGTCAAGATGGGCTTTCGTATTCACTTGTTCAAGGAAGAACCAGATCGAGATATTATCTGTTCCGTTTGCATGGGTGTTTTAGATAACCCGGTTAAAGATCAATGTGGACATTTTTTCTGTGCTGATTGTTTGGGTCCATGGTTACAAAAAACTGGTCGATGTCCAATCTCCAATCAATCAATTCACTCATCAATACCAAGTGAAAGTCTTTCCCAACGGATAAATTGTCTTAAAATTAAGTGTGTCGAGTGTAAGAAAAATTTTGTCCCCTTAAATCAGCGGTCTGAGGGTTGTATCGATTGTGTCACCCGTCGTATCTCAAATCGTACTTCAGCCAGTGACAGTTTTGATCGACGATTCAATCAACCTCACCACTCATTTCAACAAGAACAGAAACAGAAACAAAAAGATAAAAATTCTTGGGGCTCTTGGGCTCTTGCTGCTGGTGCCGTTGCTGCCGTAGCTTTGGCTGCGACTTCTGCAACTAAAAATAAAACTAATCGTAAATGATCAATTAACAATCAACTCTGATGATCTTCACTCGACTTTTTTCCTGTCCAATTAATCGACTGTGACTTTGTGACGATTTTATCTGTACAGTTTAATAACAAAGAGAATTTACTTTGTAATTGAGCTTTTAAAAATGTCAAATGTTTTGATTGTTTACAATTAAAGATAAATGACAACTTTTTTGCTCTGAAAATAGCTTATTCTCACTTCTTGTTTACATTTTTTCTTGAGTTGTTTCTACTCATCGTAACATTGTTTTGTATTTTACTTACTATTTGTATCTTTTAATTAGAGTTAAATTGTGTAAATATGTTCAAGAGACCAGTTAAAATTAACTTTAGAAAGAGAGAAGAGGAAAAATCACCAAATGAAGAGGAGGAAGAAATTGTGATCTGCAGACCAAGTAAAATCTCTGCAAAACGCTTTAGCGACAGCGAAATCAACATTAGCATCAAATCAAATTCAACAACAGCAAAAATTAAAATCGGAACAAGTGACACAACAGCAAATCCACGTTGGATCAGTGGCTCGATTGAAACAATTATCAAAATCGGAAGATGATCTACTGAAAACTTTAGATGAAATTAAGGAAACAATTAGATCGAGCCCAAGAAGAGATGAAGACATTCAAACAAGAAAGAGATCGACTTCAAGATCAACTCGAAAAGTTAATCAATGAATTAGAAGCTAAAGAGGTAAGAGACATTTTCTCCTTTCAAATCAAATTGATTAATAACTAAATTACAATTATCTTAATTTGACTCATTCAGAGGGATCTTCAACAGGCTAAACTGAATCAACAAAAGGGTATGCAACAAGCAACTGCCCAACAGCAGCAACAACAACAACAATTAGCCCAACAAAGTGGTGAATTAGTGGCGATGAAAAAGTCACTCGATGAACGAGCTCGAAGTTTACAAGAATTGGAATCAAAATTAACCAAAAGGAAAAGTGAATTTGATTCAATGGAAAAGCAACTCGAACTTGCAATGAAACAACAACGACAACAGGGTCAACAACAATCACAACAATCGGCCTCTAATCAAGCTGCTAGTGAGAAAATGTTAACCGAATTAAAAAAGAAAATGGAATCAATTACATCAAATGAATCAGAGAAAGTTAAATGAGTGAGAGGGAAATTAAAAGGATGAATCGATTGACTAAGATTTGATGATTTAATTGTCACCAGATTCACATGGATTCAGTTGATATTTTTGATTCTTCCTTCCCAACAAACAAAATCATAGATACTCAACAAATCCATGTATCCACGGTTTCATCAGTAGTTGATTGTTGATTAATTATTGACTGATGGAAATACAACTCGAACTTGCAAATTTTGTCAAATGTTTTGATTGTTTACAATTAACGACAAATGAAAAGAGTAGAGAGAGTCGGTTTTTACTCTTTGGATAAACAACCTTTTTGCTCTGAAAATAGCTTATTCTTACTTCTTGTTTACATTTTTCTTGGGTTGTTGCTACTCATCAATCTTTCTCATCTCAACATTGTTTTGTATTTTACTTATTTCTATTACTATTTGTATCTTTTAATTAGAGTTAAATTGTGTAAAGATGTTCAAGAGACCAGTTAAAATTAATTTTCGAAAGAGAGAAGAGGAAAAATCATCCGATGAAGAGGAGGAAGAAACTGTAATCTTTAGACCGAGTAAAAAGGTTTGTATTGGTCGGAATGTCGGAAGAGAAAACAATTCAAAGGTTGAATCGAGTTCTGATTCTGATGGAGAAGAAGATGAATCATCAATTTCTGTATCATATTCTACCAGTAAGGATATTATTCGTGAAGGACCTAAAGACATGGGCGCAACATCGGAGAGACAAATTGACAGCGATAAGGAAGGTGTTAGTGGGAACAAATTTATCGCCAAAGGACCGATGAAAGCTCCTTCCAATATAAGGTCAACAGTTCGATGGGATTATCAGCCTGATATTTGTAAAGATTTCAAGGAGACGGGATTTTGTGGTTTCGGTGATTCTTGTATTTTCCTACATGATAGAAGTGATTATAAAGCTGGTTGGCAATTAGAAGCTGAAGCTCGCAAAGGAACTTATGGTGAAGATGATGTTAATTACGAGATTACAGAGGAGAAAGAGATTCCATTTAAATGTTTAATCTGCCGAGAAGGTTTTACTAATCCAATTGTCACCAAATGTGAACATTATTTCTGTGAGAAATGTTTCTTAGCCGAATACAGGAAAAGTACAAAGTGTTTCATTTGTCATGTTCCAACCAAGGGAATATTCAAACCCGCTGATATTTTCAAAAAATCGACCAAAAAGAAGAGACAAACTGATGAGGATGATGAAGATGATGAGGATGAACAAGAAGATGACAAGGATCAGATCAAAGAGGTTGAAAATTTTACCAATTGTGATAGTGATCAAGAAGACGATTAATCTGATTGTTTCAGATTATAAAACGTGTGTACATACAAATTGAGGCATCGATTAAATCTCATTGCAAATTTGATTAATAATTCATTTCAGATCAATTTACTCCATGGAACTGCAATTCTAATCAACAATCAAAGAAAAAATCGGTTAAAAGTTTTTCTGGTTTTCTTTTTTTTCGACTTTTTCTCCATAGACATTTAGTGTCATCTTGTTTTCTATTTTGAAACTAAAGTTCTTATTTTCTCTTTTCTTAACATTCGATGAGGATGTTTGAGGCTGGAGTGGAATCAGAGCTTCGCTGATATACATGTATTTAGATTTCGAATTGAAGTAAATTGAATGAAAGAAGAAGAAGAAAAATATTATTTGTTAATTGTTATTCGAGAAAAAAGTGCTTGTTATTCGTGTTGTTCTAATTTGTTTGATGTATTTAAAAGGTTCGAGAATAAAAAGTCAAACCTAATGTGAAAGTTTAACAAAAGGAATCGAAATTTTGAAAAGTGAAAATTATTCTCTAATCAAAAAGTCGATCAAAAATCAACAGGAATCATTTTGTAGATATAAAATAAAATATAATTTCCAAGTGTGGATTCAGTGTATAATTTGACCATCTTTTGGATCGAAGTGTCTAAAGGAATCATCTGATGGATCCTCGATCATCCATGATGCATGGAACCTCATCAGGTAGAAGGTCAAGTCGAATGCCATTACGATCATCATATTCTCTTGAACGTGATCCTTTAATGGAACGTGGAGGTGGTGGGGGAGTTCCAGGTGACCCTTACATGTCTCCAAGAGAGAGATCACTTGACCGGTGTGATATGACTCGACATTCACGGACAAGGGATCGATCACTTGACCGTTCAGTTTACCTAAGAGATGATCCTGTTGGCTATCGAGATAAACCTGATGCACTATTAGATGATCCTATCTACCGTGAAAGGCCATCATCAAGAGCAGCGATGGGTGTCAATTTTGCCGATCCAACTTCGGGATCAATTAATCCAGCCTATTCTCGTGATTCATATATTATGGAGTTACAAGCTCGTCTAAATGAACTTCAAAGTCAATACTCACATGTTAAACGAGAATTGGATGCAACTACACAGAAATTGGGCTCTTCCATGCATTCGATTAAAACTTTCTGGTCACCCGAGTTAAAGAAGGAGAGATCACTTCGGAAAGAAGAGGCTGCCAAATACGCTTTGCTCAATGATCAATTAAAAATCCTTCGATCAGAGAATCAGGTAATTGAGATTAACCATCATCAGAAATTGTTTCCTTTCATGTTCCCCTTATCATAATATATTCAAAGTGTTCAGAATTGATAATATTTGTTATACGTTTGCCTTTAAATTCAATCTGAATTAGTATTCCCTTTACCAATTTCTAATCGATATCTAATAATACCCGACAGGTAGCTACTTATAATAGGTACAATTGACAGAAAAAAACCCATAGCAAAACATTAGTATTTGATTCTGACCAAATTTATACATGATAAATTTTATCGATCCAATGGGCTCATGATTTTGCGTGATTCCCTGTATAATACAATACATGGAGTATTATTATCATTGTATCAACTTTTCACTATGACCTAGTTTTTTTCTTGGTGTAGTTCAGGTCTTTCTCTCTCTCTCTCTCACTCACTCACTCCCTGTTCACCCTGATTGAACTGATTCCTTGTGAGTTTTACAAGGTATCAACCAGAGATGAACCCATACCCATTATCCGGTTACCCACCCAATCATCAGCTGTAAATGCTACTGATGATTGGGTTAATCCTCTTTGCATATAAAATAAATTTCATTTTTTCGTATAGATTATGTTCAATTTACTAACTGGAAATAATTTATCGATATTTTACTTCTTCTTCTTCTTCTTCTTTTCATCTTCAACATCATCACCATCCTCTCTATCAAATAACCAACAAATTAAACGACAATTTAACACAGAAACAGACAGCATTAATACGACAATTGGAAGAGGAATTAAGATTATCTCACCTTCGAAATCCGGATCAAGAGATTCAACAGCACATGGAAGCTCTTTACAACGAGAAAGAGCATATGTCCAAAGAGATTTACTTACTTCGAGAGACAATTAAGGTATTAGTTAAATGTACAATTCAAATTCCTATCGAAGCTATTCCCATGAAATTTTATTCTTCGACTGATACTAATTATTAAGTTCGACTCGATGAATTTTACTTTTCATGGCGTAAATGTTTCATTTCCTTGTGTCTTTTGGAATTTTATTTTCGCCCAAATATCAATGTGATTATCCACTAATCTTTTGGTCTAATTATCGTTTGATTGTCCAGGAACTTGAACTACGAATTGAGACTCAAAAGCAAACCCTTGCTGCTCGTGATGAGAGTATTAAAAAGCTAATGGAAGCCATGTCGAATAAGGGATTAACTGGAAAAATGTATGAAGAGGAAAGGATTGAAATGGAACGTTTGAAAACTCGAAACATTGAATTGGAAACTCGAATGAGACATTTGGAAACAATGCTAGAATCAAAGGAGAAAGAAATTCTCAAGGTAACCGGAGAAGAAAGAATAATATTCCATTATTCATTCTTATTTCTTTTTCTTCTCTATTTTTTTCTTATCCGCATCATTTTCATCTTCATCATCATCTTCTCACTAAGTATCGTTACATGTTCTTTATTAAAGACAAGTGAGATTATCCCCTTGTAGTATTAGTGTAGAAGAAGAAAACAAAAGAAAAGTTTTTTTTTTCGAAGATTAATGTTAATTCCTCGTTCGAAACGAAAAGAATAACATAAAGTTGTCTAATATGATTAATAGTAAAAAGAAGGAGACACAATCATAATCAACGATTAGTTTAATAGAGAAATTCAAACGATAATTGTTCAAGATTCGAGCAAATTTTTTGCATGTCAATCAATGTGAAAGTTCAGCAATTAGCTGATTGTCTTGGAAATCGTTGATTTTATTTTCTTCAGAACTTTCAACTTTTTCCGATATTTTTGTTGTTCTTTCGCCAATGAATCTCATATATTCATGAACATGTTCATTAGTAAATTAAGAGAGAGTAAATTAAATAATTCCGAGTGGGAAATTAAGGTGGAAATAAGGAGAGATACTTTATTCAGTGTGGGAATATATAAAATATTCACAATTTCATGATACTATAAATACACTACTCACGTTTCTCCCTCCCAGTTATTATTATTATCACAATCATCATTATGATTACTGTTTATCATTCAAATTGTTGGTTTGATTGAGCTACTAGTTGTTATTTTCACTTTGAATTATACAACAACAATCAAATTCAACATTGAAAGTTAATTACCATAATGACTTGTTTATAATAAATGTGATTCTTCATGGTGATTACCATGAAATCACATTACAGGTTATGACCCAGATTCCTATTGTATAAATATAATCATAAACTCATCATCAGAGGTAACAAAACAAAGCAAGAACAAAAAAAAATGTTCATAGGAAATTACGAGTTAATCAAATTAGTTGATTATCATTATGATTAACTTTTTATTCACTATTTTCATGATAATGATGAAATAATAAAAAGAGAGAAAAAGGAAAAGGAAAAGGGACAATTAAATTTGATTCGTTGAGCTTTTTGATTAATTGTTTGACTTTTGACCTTCCAGATTGAGGAAATGCGCTTAGAATTAAATAAACGAGACCAAGAGATATTGGCCATGGGCGCTAAGATGAAAACGCTTGAAGAACAGCACCAAGATTACCAGCGACACATTTCGGTGCTAAAAGAATCGCTAATTGCCAAGGAAGAGCATTACAATTTACTACAATCCGATGTAAGTTAATCATCATCTTTATCCATTTACTATTTTCGACAATCGATCAAAATTTATTGATTTTCTGGTTAATTGATTTAATCGATTAATGATTTTCTTTCCTCGTCTTCGTTCAATATTAATAATCATTTTGGAAATTGTTTTATATCTTAATTATATTTCCATGTTGTTACTATTGATCAGATGATTAATTGTCAATGTATTTTGTTGCTAATTGTCTTAATTGTTACTTTTTTAATTGTAGAATGAGGAGCTTCGAGCAAGATTGGACGAGAAGAATAAGTTAATTGAGAAAAAGACTCAACATGCTATGGTAACAAGTCAAGATCGTAATAAACTTAATCAAGAATTACAAGAACTTCGAGATCATGTAGATATAAAAGATCGTAAGATTAATGTTCTACTTCGAAAGGTAATTACTTTTTCTTTTCTTCCAAAGAGAAGATCTTCTTTTAGATCTTTCATTTTCTATTATTATCATGTTATTTTTCTAACAATTAGTTGATTGATTATTTTACCTTTTTTCTTTTCTTGTCAAATAGATTGAAAATCTTGAAGACTTACTCAAAGAGAAAGATAATCAACTTGACCTTTCCCGATCTCGTCTATCGTCAATGCAAGCACATCATTCCAATTCTGAAGGAACCTTGACCAGCCTCGAAGAAGCGATAAATGACAAAGATAAACAGATAATGTTATTAAAAGAGCAACGAGATCGAGCCGAAGCAGAAAGAAATGAAGAAAGGGAATTACATGAGAGAGAAATCGCTGAATACAAGATGAAATCTCTTGCAATTAAAAGCGAAATGGACAAGTTACAGGTCATTCTTGATAAAGCGGCTGCCGAAAAGGATAGAATTGAAATTAAACTGGAAACCTCTCAATCCGAATTGGGTAAAGCTCGAGCTGAACTTGATAAAATTCAATCTGAACAATATCGCCAAACAAGTGACTGGGAACGGGCAAGAACTGAAAACGCTCGACTTATCCTTGAGAATGAACGACTTCGAAATGAGATTGAAAAACTTGGCCGAGATTCAGATCGAATCACATCAAACATTTATTCAAGGTAATTCTAGAATTTAAGTACTTTAATGTCGATTGATTAATTTTTGTCCTTATTTTGTATTTCAGTCCTTATCGAGATCGTGATAGAGATCGAGACCGAGACCGTGATCGAGACAGAGAAAGAGATAGAGATCGAGACCGTGATCGTGATAGAGATTGGGATAGGGAAAGAGATCGAGACAGAGATCGTGAAGCTTCATCTTCAGCGCTTCGAATGAATAAAGCAAGTGAAATGGAGATTGAAAAGTTAACCGAACAGTTGGAAAAGACTAAAAGTGACCTGAGACGAGCTCAGGCTGAGTTAAGAATGAATCAGACAGAACAAGATCGTTCTCGTGCCGATATGGAGCAATTACAAGAGAAACTCGAAAAATCTCAAGGGGAAATTTATCGATTGAAAGCTAAACTCGAAAACGCTCAATCGGAAAGGGAATCACTTCAAGAAGAATACGACAAGATTCAGTCTTTAATCGCTCGATGTCAAATTGAGAGGGATAACGCTCATACCGAGGTAGAAAAGATAAGAACTGATATGGAAAGAATTCAGGCCACTTTGGGTAAGACACAATTACAATACGAAAAGGCTCAAGCCTCGTTGGATAAAAGCCAAGCTGAATACGATCGACTTCAAGAAAAATATGACAAACTGAATGCTGAACATCGTCGATTAGCAGCTGATCGTGACCGATATCAAAGTGAAGTAGAATCGTTAAGAGTCCAATATGGTGATGTTGATAATAAGCTCCAGAAACTTCAGATGGAACGAGAAACTTCATTAGTAGAATTGGAAAAATTAAAAGAAAAATATGATCGAACCACCAATCAAATGAATCGATACTTAAAGGAAAAGGAACAAGCCATTCAAGATTGGGAAGTTCTAAAGGAAAAGTTTGACTCTCTCCAAAATCAAGTAACTCGATACCAGAAAGAAAAGGATTCAACCCAACGCGAAGTCGAGCTAACCCGTGAAAGGCTGGAAAAAGCTCAACATCAAGTCGAAAGGTACCAACGGGAGCAACAAACAGCCGAAACTGAAGTGACTTTACTTCGAGAAAAAATGGAAAAACTATCAACACAATTGCAAAAAGCTCAAGAAGATAAAGAGATTGGTAAAGTTGAACATGAAATGATGATGGAGAAAATTGATAAAGCCCAAGGAGAAGTGATTAAGCTACAAGCTCGATTAGATAAGTCACAATCAGATGTTAATCGACTTACAATCGAACTAGATAAAGCTCGAGCCACTGCATCTACAGTTAAAGAAGATCATAAAAAAGCTCAAAATGAGTTCGAAGGTCTTCAAGAGATTTATGCAAGAACCAATAGCCAATTGATGAGAAGTAAAGAGATGGAAGAAAAATTGAAAATGGAAGTGGAAAAATTAACAGCTGATTTAGAGGTGTTGAGAGAAAGATATGATAAAGCTTCGGAACAAGTTCGTAAATTGTCACTTGAACGAGACAAAGCGGTAACTGAAGCTGATCGCATGGCCCTGGAGATGAACAGAATTCAGGCTCAAGCAGGTAAAACTCAAACGACCCACGAGAAGCACCAAGAAGAGTTGGTTCGACTTCAAGTTGAAAGGGAAAAAGCATATGAAAAGATTGAACGAGTTCAGGGTGACCTTAGGAAAGCTCAAGTTGAAAAGGACAACATTCTAGCAGAGAAAGAGAGACTTGCAGCTGACCTTGAAAGGTATCAAAGTCAAACGAGTAAATATCAAGCGGCCCATGAAAAATTCCAATATGAATTTGATCGTATTAGTATCGATTTGGAAAGGATTCGAGATAAATACGAGAAATGTAAAGTTGACCTGGATCGATCTAACGGGGAAAAAGAGAAAATGATGATTGACCTTCAAAGAGCATCAGCTGAAGTTGAATCGGTTCAAAAAGAGAGAGACAGTTGCCTAAAGGAGATTGATAATCTTAAATTAGATTTGAAACAATTAAGGGAACGAAACATAGCATCAAATGCTACCGCTTCGTCGGCAGCAGGATCAACCGCGGCTGCAGCAGCGGCGGCAGCGGCAGCGGCAGCAGCAGCCAAGAATGAAGCAATACAACAATTGAATGAACTTCGAGAGAAACACAAGGTTGAACTCGATATGTTGCAAAAAGAATTGGACAATGCTCGAGCTCGACTCGAGAAGTATAAAGCTGCCGAAACGAAGCAAAAACAGGAGATCGAAAGAGCGATCATTGAATTTGAAAAGATTCGCGATAAAATGGAACGAAATCAAGCTGAATTAACGAAAGTCCAAAGAGAACGAGACAGTTTAATGGAACAAGTAAAATCTCTGCAAAACGCTTTAGCGACAGCGAAATCAACATTAGCATCAAATCAAATTCAACAACAGCAACAATTAAAATCGGGACAACAGCCCCAACAACAAGTGACACAACAGCAAATCGACGTTGGATCAGCTGAAGTGGCTCGATTGAAACAATTATTATCCAAATCGGAAGATGATCTACAGAGAACTTTAGCTGAAAACAATCGCCTTAAGATGGAGGTTGAAAGACTTCGTCAAGATTTGGACGATGCTGAAGGTTATATACAGAAAATATCGGAAGGCCAAGAGGCCAGAATGTCGGGTGAATTTAAAAAGTTAAAAGATCAACTTGAAAAATCAGAAGCTTCACTCGCCGCAGTTATGAAGGAAAGAGATTCTCTTCATATTGAATTACAAGAATTAGCCGATGCTTATGATGCTCTTGAGAAAGAGAAGGGAACACCAACTGGCCTGCCCAAGGCAGAGGTCGATCGTTATAATAGTCAAATCGCCGGTTTACAAGCGGAGATGAAAAAAATGGAGCTTTCATGTAGAAAATACGAAACTGAGAACAAGGAATTAAGAAGTAAACTCGAAAAATCTTTGGAAGCTATTACAACCTTCCAGAAACAAATCGACGGTTCTAAACAAGAAATTAACAAATTGTCTGAACAATCAAGATTGTTGAAGAGTGAAAATGCCAAATTGATTGGTCAACTTCAGCAAACTAATCAACAACTTAATTCAGCTAAATCAACAGTCGCTTCAGCCCAAGCAGCCGCTCAAGCTGCTCAAGCTCAAGCAGCGGCAGCACAGGCTCAGGCTCAGGCTGCCGTGAATAATAATAATAACAAACCCGATCCAAAGATCGTGGAGGAAGTTAATAAATTAAAAGGTGAACTAGAAAGACAACGAAATGAAACCCAAAAATGGATGCAAGAGGCAACACAATTAAGGAAACAATTAGATCGAGCCCAAGAAGAGATGAAGACATTCAAACAAGAAAGAGATCGACTTCAAGATCAACTCGAAAAGTTAATCAATGAATTAGAAGCTAAAGAGGTAAGAGATGTTTTCTCCTTTCAAATCAAGTTGATTAATAACGTAAAACTAAATTACAATTATCTTAATTTGACTCATTCAGAGGGATCTTCAACAGGCTAAACTGAATCAACAAAAGGGTATGCAACAAGCAACTGCCCAACAGCAGCAACAACAACAACAATTAGCCCAACAAAGTGGTGAATTAGTGGCGATGAAAAAGTCACTCGATGAACGAGCTCGAAGTTTACAAGAATTGGAATCAAAATTAACCAAAAGGAAAAGTGAACTTGATTCAATGGAAAAGCAACTCGAACTTGCAATGAAACAACAACAACAACAGGGTCAACAACAATCACAACAATCGGCCTCTAATCAAGCTGCTAGTGAGAAAATGTTAACCGAATTAAAAAAGAAAATGGAATCAATTGAATCAGAGAAAGTTAAATTAATAGGTGAATTAAAAAAGACCAAAGATGAAGCCAATCAAACCCAAACGGAACTTGAAAGATTGTTACAAATAATGAAAGCATCGGAAGAGGAAAAGTTTGCCCTCAATAAGCAAGTTCAAGACTTGCAAAAGTAAGTTAATTGTTAACAATCAACACCTGATGATTAACTAATTTTAACATTTTCGCATTGAATTTATCATGTTAGTGCCCTGAAAACAACTCAAAGTGCTGGTCATCATCACCAACCAACACCCCAACAGCAACAACAACGTCGTGGACCTGGACCTGGACCTGGACCTCCAGGGGGTGAAGGTCATGGTCATGATCCATCTAAAGGAGGTCAACAGGTAAGTTTTTGTTAATTGTTTACAATCACAAAACTCTGATGACAATCATACTAATTGTTTAATCTTTTAATCCTCTTTCAGTCTCAACCTGGTGGTCCCGCTAGTTTTTTTTCTAGTTTTTTTTAACCATAAATTGAATTTAGAGAGTTAACTAATTGTGGTAACTAATCCTTTGGAGGATTAAGGATGGAGAGTGAGAGGGAAATTAAAAGGATAAATCAATCGATTGATTAAGATTTGATGATTTAATTGTCACCAGATTCACATGGATTCAATTGATATTTTTGATTCTTCCTTCCCAACAAACAAAATCATAGATACTCAACAAATCCATGTATCCACGGTTTCATCAGTAGTTGATTGTTGATTAATTACTGACTAATATTGTGCTTTGCAAACAATACACACACACCGATACACTCACACTCACACACATACACTCAGCATCATGTTAAATTGTTGTTTGTTGATTTCTGCTAATTAGTTGGAATATGTTTGTTTCTTTTGATATCGCCAAGATCACCAGCCCACCGCCCGACCAAGTACCACTTTGAATAATATTGAATCTTTGTCTTTCTGTTTGATTCCTGTGTGTGACCATCATCATCATCATCATCTTCATCTTCATCTTTTCATAACTTATATAAATGTTTCATCATCAAGAATTAAGGTACACACAATTAATTCAAACAACAACAAATCATCACATTCACAATTTTCATGGAGGAAAAAAAAATTCAGATGATCGAACTTAAATTAAGTGCTTTCCAATGGCCGAAATAGATGAATGGAAAACACTTAATTGTTGATCACTTTTTTTTTCTAAATCAACCAACTGACCAAGTCTCTTATTAATTATTATCATTTTTAAATCATCGAAGTGATTATAATAATAATAATATCTATTAGACAGAATTAATTGTAATTGTTATGACTGATTGATTGATTGATTTACAATTTAGGAGGTAATTTGATTAACTGGACAACAACTAATGACCAAAAAAAAGAGCAGAGGAAACTTTGATTAACTTTTTTTTTCCTCAACAATTAATTGTGTGTTTGATATACAATTAAACATATCAAAGTGATGAGACAATTAAACTACAAACCTGATGAATACAATACTAATTGAGAAACAATCAATTTGGATTGATAATTTTGGACTTTTCTGTTTCATGTCCTCAATTAAATCAAATTTAATTGTTATCATTTGTTTTTGATTAACTGGCCTAAATTAAGCAATTAATTTGCTTCCTATGGAAACAGCAATTTGCAATGAAAGTAAATCACCTTTAATTATATTATCATCATCATCATAATCTTCATTATAATTATCATCTTAATCATTTGTCATCAAATGAAAAGTCAATTGCTGACCAATGGTCTTCCCATTATAATTAATAGCTGATGAAAAAAGAAAGTGATTAACTTAATCACAATTAAGTTTTAACATCAATCGGTTTTTGGTCCAGTTTTTTTGTTTCATTCAATTAAATTGTTGCTTCTTATGTTAATCAGCATCACTATTGTTACATCATAATTATACTCACAATCATCACAATTACAACAATTAATTAACACTCTTCCCTCAATCACTCAACTCAATTAAAAACAATAATAATATTAATAAGATAATAACAATTTAATGAGATGTGACAAACAATTAATTAATTGAGCCTTAACTTTATTGTTAAAAACAAATCAACATAGAAACAAAATTGACTAAACTGCCATTAACTAAATTGTTGATTAACTAATTTCCCCCTTCTCTTTTGTGAACAATTAACTCAATCATGATTCAATAAGCATTTACATGATAACATCAACAAAAGAAAAACTAATCAAACAATCAATTTACAATTAAAAGATGATTAAAATCAAAGAGTATGAAGATAAATCAAATTTAGATTTTTTTAATTAACTGTTTATCTAAATTAACTAATTGTTTGTTAATTGTTTTCTTTATTGGTGATCTTATTTGTTTAAATTATTATCATTATTATTTTATGATTTTTTACTTGATCTACAACAATTTAATTTACATAATTAACAAATATAACAATTTATTTAAAATTTAAACTAAATTCAGATTTTTTTATACTTAATTAATTGTTTGATTATCAATTGATTTTGATTCATATCATTGAAAGTGGCAAACTTTGTGTAAACTTTTTTTTCCCCTGTCTTTTCATAACAATTAATTTGATTAATTGTTATCACTGGCAGTTAATTAAATCTAATTAATACGAAATGATCAAGTTTTGATTTTATTGTTGATTGTAGAAAGTTAATTGTCAAAGGAAATTCAATTTTCCTTTTTAGGTCTCATCTAATTTTCAATCGTTTCATATGATATTTTTTGCTTTCTGTCAAATTAAATTTAATTAAATCAAATTAATTTTGTGTGCTAATTAACTAATTACATGAAAAGTTATCACTGTTTGAATGGGAGTTCGTTGCGTTGAATTGGGTTCTAATTGAGAGATGAGATTCTAATCGAGGCCTCGGAGATTTCGGCAGATACATTGTCCGTCGCAATGATAACTTCGCTACTTAGATGCGATGTACAATTCCCATTAACACTTGATACGAGATATCGCCTGAGGCTGATTGAATAGAAAAACGGGATGAGTATCGGTTCGAAATTTCGATCTGAATTGATTTCGAAAATAGAATCGTATCCAAATAGGTATGGATTCGCACGGTTCTCGAAATTTGATAACTCGCTGTCGAAAACTTTCATTTGCTCTTATGAAAAATCGACTTTTGCTTCGTTGTTGTTGTACTTTCTGAGCCAAGAGTTTCGTATGTATGAAGCTCAGGTATGAGAATGTTTAGTAGATGAAGAGGCCGAAATTTACGTTACGTAAACAATAATAATTTCTTTTCGAAGATTCGATCAGGATTTAGGCTCATCAATTTATTATTCTCAAGTCGACAGTTGATCAACTGAGCTGAAGTTTCATTGACTTTGTCGGCTAAGTCAGTCGTTGTTCTTATCAAAAGTAAACAAGCTTCTTTATCGCCAAGTTATTTTCTATTATCATCAGCATACCTGTAAAGCGAAGGCCTATTGATAGATTATTGGTTTGTTGTTTATTCTTGTCCAAGTCAATTAATTGAGCTCTGAGTTTATCATCTGGAAATTTCAACTATTCAAGTGTCTTTGATTTTATCCATGAAAATTTCATTTGATCTCGACTCTTATAAAAATTTCTAAGTACATTAATAGTTGTTGAGATTATCTAATTTCCTTTTGTTTTTCTCTGCAATTAGATTAACCAAACATGGGTCATGATATCACAATGTTCAAGGAGAAACCAAATGAGGAATTTGTTTGTGCCATTTGCTTTGGTGTTTTCAACAATCCGGTCGCCGATGATTGTGGTCACATCTATTGTGCCGAATGTCTTTTCGATTGGTTCAAAGTTAAAGATACTTGTCCAATTTCATGTTCTAAGATTCGAAAAGAAACTATTCGAAAACCTCCCCTTCCATTCACCAATTTGCTTGGTGCTCTGGAAATCAAATGTCCCAAATGTGGTGACAAATACATTCAACTTGATCAATATGACGATGGTTGCCCTGATTGTTTAACTTCCCGATTCTCAAGTCGGCCCAGGGCTTCAAATGCTCAACGACAATCTCAATTTGGACAATCATCCAATACTCGATTTGGACAATCGTCCAACACTCGATTTGCTAATAGTGGAAATCTATGGGAAGGTGTTAAATGGGCTGGTGTCGCTACAGCGGTTGGAGCTGGTCTATTGGTGCTCATTTCGAGTATGAAAAACAAGAACCGTGATTAGATAAACACATGAATATTTATCGATTACATGGAAGTTAACTGATTGTAATGATTGATTTCATTTTAATTATCTTTCCTGCTTCATTTACCCTTAATTATTATCATCATATTGCTACAAATGTAACAATCATTTTTTTTCCCTTGCCATGATTATAACTAATGATCTCCTCTCATGACTTTTGATTGTTAACCTTTAAATTGTTTAACCATCTTAATTGTAAAACTATAAAGATTAACCTTGTTCATTTATATACAAAATACTTGTCAGTATATTTTGTACACGACTGTAATCAAGAGTAATTCAAAAATTGGTAACAATTTATGAGCATTTGTAACATAGTCAGACAATCTAATTACCGAATCATTGATTGTTAAAGATCATCTAGTTTGATCAATTAAATTTAAAGCCAATTGAAAAGTGGATTCTTATGTTTTCCTTTTCTACAGAATTAAAATTAATCATGAACAATTTAGAAGAAAAATTTTCTGTGAAAATAGTTTATTTTCACAGCAGAAAATGTTTGTTTACATTTTTCTCTTGATTTCTCATTGATTGTTTTTATTTTTTTTCTCGTTAATTTAATTATATTTGTTAATTTTTATTCTACAATTAAATTTATTAGATTGATAAATTGTCGCTCTCACTGATTGTCATTCATTAATTTCCTTTTGTTTCCAGTTCAATCCCTTGTTTTGTTTTGTTAATTTTCACTAATCAGTTTTTCATTTTTTTCAAATCTCAAAGGTAAACAATTAATTTCATCTTTGATTTTGTTTTCGTTTTGATTATCTCTCATCTGATTGTCCAATTTAAAAGTGTCATCGATAAATCAATTGTGCTAATATATTGGTTAGTATTGGATTTGATTATTTGTCAGAATTTTATCAGAATTACAATTAACCCTCTTGTCTTTTTTTTAATTCATTTAGACTCCATTGGATTAAAATGCCATGTAAGTGTTACCATTAGTCTTTGAATAGATTTAATTGGTTGAGTTAATTGCTTGGGATTCTTGTTATTGGATAATTTAAGTTAATTTATATTTGTTTCTTCATTTATTTAGTGAGAAATGCATGTGTCATTCTTAATTGTGAATCATGTGAGATGAGAGATGTATCTTATTTTGGTTTCCCTCGAAATCCAATTCAAACAAAGGTCTGGATTGAGCGATTAAGGCCAAGGCTTCCGGCCAATTTCACCGAAGCCGATTCTGTATCTAAACATATCTGTTCACTTCATTTTCCCCCTGAAACTCATTACCACCATGGTATGGGAAGGAGATTATTTCCTAATGCACTTCCATTCATCATTGATGAACATTCAACGACCAATGTATCGACCCAATGTCACATAGTTCGTGATCAATCACGAGAATTGACTGAGCTGAAAAAACAACACGCTATCCTGAAGCGAGAATACACCAAGCTGAAAAACAATCCACCGACGGCTTTCATAATTAGAAACCTTTACAAGTTGAAACCTCGAGTCTCTCAGGAGGCGTTTATATGTTTCGAGAACGCTATTCACAATTATGATAAACATCCACAGAATCGACGTCATACCCTTGCAGCCAAACAATTAACTAATCACATACAAGTTCAAAGTAACGAAGCTTTTAAATTGTTTCGCTCATATTTTGCTCTTCCATCTAATCGCACTTTGGGAAGACACTACAATCAAAAGGATCAAATATCTAATGATAATGGTAATGGTAATGTCACTGAAGAAACTCAACTCATCTCAGATAATTTAATCAACTAACTTAAACAAATCTACTAATCGTAAATCGCAATTAAGTTGATGACAATAATGTGACATGTCATTGCTCCTTCTCTCTCTCTCTCTCTCTCTAAATTATAGTTTGCTAATCACATTAATCATTTATACACATGTGAAGATTGTGCTTGAATCTTTTTACTCTCTTGATTGTTGTAAACAATTTAACAATAAAAAAGTGAATTGTACAAAAAGTGAAATTATTTTCATTGATTTCTATTTTTCTATTGAAATATCAAAATGAACTCTAATTGTAAGCGACCCGAAGTGACCATCGAAATGGCTTCAAGTCTGGTTGAAAAGTATTTCAATGTAAAAGTGACCAAAGTGACCGAAGCAAATGGTTATGATGATCGTAATTTCATCATAACAATTGAGAAAGAATTAGTTAATCATGGTAATCAATTTGTTCTCAAAGTAACAAATCCCATTGACTCAGCTGATCAAGGATTAATTGGTGAGTCTTAATTGTAGATCTTTGTTTTTCATTGATATTCTGATGCTAACCTGCTCGTTTCTTTGTATTGCTGACAATCAACTAATTGTTTGCCTTTCCAGAGGCCGTTACCGATGTGTCTCTTTATGTTAATCATAAGGAAGGAATTGAATCTCCAGTACCGATGATTAATGTAAATGGCAATTATGTTGAAAGAATTGAATTAGAATCTAAGCAAATTTGTGCCGTTCGATTGATGAAATATATCGATGGAATTGTTTTAGAAAAAATTGATTATGATGCTGATATTTTGTACGAAATTGGCTCAGTGGTTGGTCGTTTGTCGTTAATTATGAAGGTAAGGTAATAGAGCGATTTGATTGTTAACTTGCTAATAAATTTATTTTTCTCAATTATAAGAACTACACTAACCCGATTTTAGATAAACGCGAGATGTTGTGGTCACTTTTAAGTGTCGATAAACTGGACGAATATCTTTTTGCAATTGAAAATGATGGACATCGATTATTGGTTCATAATATTATTGAAAAATTTAAGGAGATTGTTATTAATAAAGTTTCCACTCTTCGAAAATCAATAATTCATGGTGATGTTAACGAGCAAAATGTTCTGGTCAAAAAGGAAGATGGTAAATGGACATTTTCTGGTCTCCTTGATTTCGGTGACTCTCATTCAGATCCGACCATTTTTGACCTTGCAATCGCTTGTTGCTATATGACCCTTGATTCTCAGTAATTGATCCAATTATGGTTCCAAAATATGTCATCTACGGTTATCTAAGTGTAGAGAAAATAACTCAACAAGAATGGGACATTCTACCGGTCGGTTAAATTGACAGTTTATGCCTAATTTTATTCGATAGAAAATCAATTCTAAATTTTATCTAATCAATTAATTCTGTAGATTTGTGTTATGGCTCGATTAAGTCAATCTCTTACGCTCGGTGCTTACAATCATCTGAAGGATCCAAATAACGAGTATCTTTTGAAAACTGGTAAAAGAGGCTGGACAATCTTGGAGCAATTAAATTCCGTTGGAGTTGATCAATTGAAGATTTTGTGGCAAAGATAATTGTTGACGATGATATACAATTCGATAAATTTTCTCGGAACGAATTGGAATTTACTCTAAAAACTCAACCATATTATAAAAAATAATCGAATTTTGAAAAAAAAACAACATTCTATCCATTTCAAGTTTTGATAAGCCGAATTTAAATGACTAAGGCCCATATTCACCAACCGTAATTAAAAGCAGTGATCAACTAATCCTGAGATCAGACCGATTCCGAGTTTAGACTAAAAAGTTGTTTCACCAAGCTCGATTAGTTGATTCCCGATTCTTTGATTTTGGGTTCAAATCAAGTTGAAGTCAAATCAATTGAATATTAATTTAATTAGGAAATTGTCCCTAAGAAGGTCTTTTTTCCCTATTTTTTCATTTTTACCCCTAATTTTTAATTAATTTTTTTAACCAACCGATCATCAAACAAAACAACGGTCAAAACAATAAAAACATATTTTTCTTTAGACAAAAGCGGTAAGTTTGAAGGAGATAAATTAATTAATTGTTTATGGAAAGACTTGAAATTAAGATTGATTTCCAAACAATTAACAAGTTATATGATTACACTGATCAAGTTTTCCTAATATCTTTGTTTAATATTTTTTTAAGAAAAAAAATCTTTTTTACGCTAGCGAAAATTGTAGAAAAATAATAGGACATACCGATATTAATCAATTTATGTAAAAAAAATTCAAAAAAAATGAGCAAGAATGGAAAAAATGAGGAAAAAAAGTCATAATCAAAAGTTAATCGTGATAATTACCAAGTTTAAATTTTGATCAAGACTTCCGAGATCAATTGAAGATGATTTCGGTTGGTGAAACAACAATTTGAGTTAAGATCAATTGATGTCGGTTGGTGAAACAAGATTTTTTGATCCTCTAATTAAATTGACCTAAACTTAAATCTGATCCGAGATCAAGAGTTGATCATAGTTGGTGAAACACAAAAGCTGTGATCAGCTGATTTAAACCTAGACTCAAATTTAATTACGGTTGGTGAATACGGGCCTAAAAGTTTCAGAATTACTGACTTTTTTGTGAATAAAATAAAGATCAAATTAACTGATGAGTAAATTTGAATCCAGACTTTACATTTTTTCCCCTAAATTCATTCAACTTCAGACTGATTCCTTTCAATAACAATATAATAAGTTGAGAAAAAACTGCCATCACCAGAACCATATGCAATTTGTTGAGATGACTCCTAATATTGTATGAGATTAGTGTGTTATATCAGCTTATCATGTTGTTGGTTTTTTTATTTGTCAACATTATTTTATTTAATATTTATTTATTTATAATTATAGCCGAATCGGAATCGATACTCATACCATGCTTTCGAACAACAATAACTTTGCCATCTGTCTTCAGGGAAAAAGTAATTAGATACAACGTAAGTTTTCATGTGTAATTTTTTTTATTTGTTTTAATGGTTTATTGTTTATCAGGTATTAGATTTGTTGAAACCCTTGGTTGAACAATCCGAAGAATTAGAAGAATTAACTGAGAAACCAAGATAAGCATCTGAACAGGGTAGTGAAGACGGAGAAAATTCTGAAACTGAATCTTGTACGTTTTCTGATGAAGAAGGAATTAGAGAAATGGATGAAAGAAAACAATAAATATATCTTGAAATATCTTATTAAAAGGTTATCGTTATCGTACGATTGTTGTAATGATTCCAGGTCGAAACAGGCAAT